GGGGGGGGGGGGGAGTATATTCCATATTCTCTGCGGAATACTCTCTCTCTCCCTCTCTCTCCCTCTCTCTCTCTCTCTCTCTCTCTCACACACACACACACACACACACACACACACACACACTGGGGAGCAGGATCGGGATAGGGGGAGATCGGGATCGGGGAAGGTGGGAGGATCAAGGGCCGGGGAGCAGGATCGGGATAGAGGGAGATCGGGCTCAGGGAAAGCGGGAGCTGAAAGAGGTGCCAGACCGGGGAGCAGGTTCGGGATAGGGAGAGATCAGGATCAGGGAAGGTGGGAGGATCGAGGCCCGAGGAGCAGGAGCAGGATAGAGCGAGATCTGGATCGGGGAAAGCGGATTGAGGCCGGGTCAGTGGGAAGCATCATCGGAGTAGACATCGAGAAGAGCAATAAGCGGGATTGCAATAGAGGGAGGTCGAGATTGGGGAGGCGGGAGCAGAAAGAGAGGGACATCGGGATCAAGGAAGGTGGGAGGATCGAGGCCGGGCTGGAGGGAAGTGGCATCGGAGCAGACATCGAGACGAGCAAGAAGCGGGATTGGGATAGAGGGAGGTCGGGATCGGGGGAGGCGGGAGGAGAAAGAGGTGCCAAACCGGGGAGCAGGATCCGGATAGAGGGATGTCGGAATCGGGAAAAGCGGGAGCAGAAAGAGGTGGGAAACCAGGGATCGGGATAAAAGCCCACGTGGGGCCATGGTGACGTGTCATTGCGCCGCAACGTTGCGGCGGCGGGTCCACTCGTGCAGAAATTGAAATCAAAGCAAACTGGACAGAACTGGACTGAGAACAGAGGAAATGCGTACACAACTGGACTTGAAACAAACAAAATACTCACATGCCTGCCTAGAATCAAAAGCAAAGCAAACTGAATAGGCTGGACTGAGAACAGACAGAAAACACACACGCCTGGACTCAGAGAAGACAAAATACACACATGCCTGTCCGGGAACCAACTCTCAAAGGCCCTCACAATCGGGTAGGCGGCCTTGGCAAGGGTCTCTGCGCAGCAGAGGGCTGCCCCTAGGACATTTCTGGGCTCCTAGCTATGTGTGGGAGGCCCTCAGCATGCCACACTCCCCCCTCTTTACAAAGCTGAGCTCCTGCTAGGGCAATCCTGAAGGGGGCACCCAAGTCTTGGGTGGGCAGGCGGGTTAAGCCTTTGAGGCCATTGTCTCTTCACAACGTTGACACTCATATCCTTCCCAAATGTCACATGTCATGGCCTCCAGGTCTGCACAGGTAAGCCTGTGATCAGCACGTTGATTGCAATATGAAAAATGAGCTTTGTAGTGCATGGGTTTGTAACCCCATTGTGCTGATGTGCGATGACCCCTCTGGACCTCCTCGAAACCATCCATAGAAGGAGGCTCCTGCGAGCAACGACCCGAAAAGAGTCCCTCTCAGCACTGAAAAAGTGAGCGAGTTTTGAGGAATGAAAAGTGGCGAGAGTCACATGACGAATACAGAAACTAGGGTCTTGGACCAAACAGGGGAGTTCGCCTCGGGGCACCCAAGGTGGGAGCGAGGGGGAGAGGAAAGGAGGTCGGAGAGACGGCCGCAGCTAATAAGGGCTGCTGCCAATCAGCAGCGGCCAGGCTATCAAGGCGCCGCGGTGTACACAGCACCCCCAGCAGGGCAGGGAAGGAATGGCCATGGCACCATAGTGAAGGAGAAGGGAGAAACGTGTAGGCGTACACAGCATGGCCGTGCGGCGGAGGTGACTTTGACAGTGTGGTGACGGAGGAGAAACGTATACAGTGATCATGATGTATATGGCGAACGTGGTCAACAATGGCCCTTCTCCTGCAGCAATCAGAAAGGGGATGAGCCGAGAGTTGGATCCAGTAACTGAAAGGACTATGGAGGATGCAGCGATAGTGACAGTAACGATGAAGAAGAAGATGAGGATGATGATGATGCTAATTCCAGTCAGGGGTAGAAGGGGAAGGGAATAACCATCTGGTGTGGGTGTAGTCTGCTGTGATTTTCCTCACAGGTACCTTGAGGGAAGTGGTTGCCACTGGTTGGGGCCCGCCTCAAGGTATCAGTTGTTGGGCAGTCATTGATCCTTAACCGCACCTGGAGATAAGGTGGATTATCACTTTCAGTATCATTGATTCCGGGACTCGGCAGATTGTAGGGGATTCAGCCTCCTGATGAATCGGTGAAACTGCGACGAAACAGATTGTCACAGCCCCTGGTTTGTTGTCCTCTTCTCCGTCTATGCCTACGGTTTACTGGCAGTTCTGTTCAGATTCATACCATAACTTCAATAAACCTTCTACAGTTTTCGCCGGTGAGGTTGAACGTCAGTGGTCAGGACCGTCCTTATGCGCCCATGCTGTGCCTGTAGTGCCAGAGACGTGTCTGGAGTGTATTTCCTGGCTGTGACAAACCTTTCTTTGTTTGTGTCTTATGATGGTGTGTGAGCCTGTAGAGTTTTCTGTCTGCTGTGGGTGAGTGATAGTCTGCTTTGCTTCTTGTCACAGGTACCTTGAGGGCAGTGGTTGGTGCCCATGTCAACGTATCAGTTGTCGGACAGTCGCTGATGCTTAACCGCAACCGGGGTTAAGGTGGATTATTACTTCCAGTATCATCGGTTAGGGGACTCTGCAGAATGTATAGGGTTCAGACTCCTGATGAGCCGGTGAAACTCCTACAAAACAGTCTTTCACAGCCCCTCGTTTGTTGTCCTCTTCTCCCTCTCTGTCTGTGGTTTACAGTGCAGTTTTCTGAAGAATCTGAATCATCCTTTACCAGATTTTATCTCTAGGATAATTGGCTCTAATGTGGCCTCTGAGATAATTCGTTCCAATCCTTGACCCGTTATGATCTCCAGTATAATTGCCTCTAATCCTTGACCACATTTCATCTCTAGCATAGTTGGCTCTAATCTGACCGACATGCTCCTCCATCTTGAGAGAGAGGTTGGTGGATCACTTGGGTGAAGAGGAGCAAGAGGGTAAAGAAGAAGACCTTCATGGCTTTGCAGGAGTGAAGGTGGTGCAGAGAGGAAATCACACTGATATATAGGGAGGTAGGAGACACCCGCATGGGGCTATGGAGAAAAAAAGGAGGTGTTCGTAGAGGTAGAGAAGGAGAGAGGAGGAAAGAATCGACAAGAAGACTTACCGTTGGCAATCGTGGGCCTTCATTTGCACTCCCTGGTTGGTGATGTATAAAGAAGGCCTTTCCTGGGGTATTCGTTGGGCATGGAGATCATTTGCGATTGTGGCAGGGTGGTGAAGGAAAGGGAGAGGCATAGTAGAAGTGTGTTGCCGCTAGATAGGGCTGATCCGCCATAGCAACTAGTGCTACTAGTGAGGAGAACAGAGAGAGGAACTTGTGGAGAGTTCTTTCTGCACCGGCAGTGAGAGAGATCTATCATACATTGATTCCATATTCATTCATTCATTCATTCATTCTGTTGCAATATTGATATTAAAGTTAATAACTAAACCACCAGTACCCACCCCATTATCTTTTCTTTTTCAGTTCCAGCATGCTTGGAGGTACCCCATAGAGTTGGAGACAGCCATGAAAGAGGCTCGGCAGCGACTGGGAACAATTTACCATGTGCCTGGTGGAAAAAACGAAAACCAATTTTGGAAAGGAAAACACAATACAGTGCAGAGTACACGATTCCTCTAGAGGTGCCATTACAATGCGACGTTGATTTGGAGGCACCTGTCTCAGATTGTGCTGGAACAATGCCGATATAGTCCGATTCTGGCGGTGCCAGTACAACACCACGGTGAAAACTCTGGCAGCGCCCGTACAATGCAGCAACAAATGGTCTGTGACCATCCACAACTCTGCCGGAACAACGCCCCCTCTATATCCCTTTACCCCCTGCAGATGCTCATTTGTTCTGGTCAAGGACATCGTCCTTCTAGGCCCAGAGCTAACGGCCCACAGGTTCAGAACCACTGCCGCTAGTGTAGTGGTGGTCTAAGAGGAGCAGCTTTGTGAGGGATAATGACGGCGGGCAGAGGGACGAGGGAGATGACATTGGTTCAATCTTGCGTTCTTCTTTTTGTACTTTCTTCTTCATTCTTTTCTCTCTTTTGTTCATTCAACTTTTTGTTCAGCTGCGATGAATGACATTGTCTCAAAGTTCTCTAGCATGATCAATTGGACAGGATCAAGCAGCGGTTCATTTCTACCTCAAACAAACAGAATCAACAAGCAGCTTGGATGAGGGGGACCAAGCAAAGGAGAGGCTAACATACACCAAACATTCCCGGATGAACGTAGCCTGTGATCCCATTCTCATCAGTGAACTCCTTCTTGTGGCGCACGTCAAAAAGAACCCAGTAGTTCTCCTTGACTGCCAAATTAAGGCCTCTCATAAAAATCCCAACCTCCTTCCGTTTGTGATCGAGGTAGATGTAGTGCGGTGTGCAGAGAATCGAATCATTCACAAAGCCAACCT